CTGCCTCTAGTATATACTTATACGTTAATAGGAATGATATGTTATGGCAGGGATGTCAGCCGACGTGTAACCTGTTTTTGTTTCCAAGGTTGGCAGAGGTCGGGTCAGCTGACCTCTCCACTAGCGCGATCAGTTGAACTGTATCCTCGGGTCAGTTGAACTAATAGTCGTAACTCCTGGCCTTGTCACCGCCAGCAACTCATTGGCTCCCCGTATCCGTATTTGGAACCCAAGTGCAGGGGGCCGGCTCTTGCCCGCCTGCGCAATCCTTCCTAACCTTGGAAGTTCCTCAAGTTAGCACATCCATCCTCCAAACAACAGCCTTCTATAACAACCCCACGCTGGGCTCCTCCGCGGGACTGTTCGGCTGACGAAGAGCTCTCGACGGACGAGTTGGAAAACGTCAGAGGACAGTATGGGGATTTATTTTTTTTTTATTTTATTTTTTTTTTTTTTTTCTTTGGCGAGCCACGACCCCGCAAGACCACCCACAGTTCCTTACTCTGTATGTATTCTGCCCGTAATGGGATATATATGTAAAGCGACGCCCAAGTTTTGTCATATGACTATGTCTTTCCATGGTTTGTTGTCAGTACAACTAGTTATACTCGATTGCTAAATGTGAAAATCATGGACTCTTATGGTTCCTGCACATGAACCACCCACAAACAGCACTTATCCCAAGCCGCATTCAATAATGAAGTCATGACATGCAGAACTGAGCTTTTTTCCCCCCATATTTATTGATTCATCATTCATTCAAGCACTGTAGGCTGCAGCAAGGAGTCTATGGATTTAATTCCCTGTGCGGATTAGGAAGAAAAGAATTAAGGAAAAGGAAAAGTAATACCAGGGACAGAAACTGAAACGGGAATGGAAATCGGCCATTGACAGAGGCAGAAAACAAACAGAGACAAAGAAAATGAACTCCATGTAACAGCAGTGAGTTTGCAAACCTACCTCTACATAGTATATATGTAGATATCCATCCAGAAACCCAGTATATCTTTCTTTCCTTTGCGTGCGTGTACCCGACTTGATCGACAAGTCGAGCCTGAATACTGGATTAGCGCTTTACAATATCTTGTGAAAAAAAAGGGGTGAAAAAAAAGGG